AAAAACACAAAGGCAGCAAAAGTCTGCAGGCGGCCAATGGGGGTGAAATGGGAGGAAAGCGAGAAGTTTTTCTTATGAATGCTCAGCTCATTTATGCAATTACTTCAACTTTTGCAATTACAGACTCAATAAGTAGGTAATTATGAACCCGAGGTAGCTCCTCGGTGCGTTCCGCAAGTATTTCATCATTTCCGAAATATATTTTCACTCAATTCCTCCATCCCCATGGCCGGTGCTGTGTGGTGTTTACTGCCTTTTAATGAATGAATTATTACTCAGATGACATGGCATCTCCTTTCCCCCTGGGCTTTGTGTGTACCCGACAAACATCAACACGTTGTCTAAACAAAAACATCAAAAACATACGAGTTCATCCGAGGGATGTGCGCGAGCCTGTTCAGCGCTTTTATGGCCATGCCACACATGTACTGGCCCCAAATGCTGGCTAGGCACATTGAAGCTGAACCCATGTATGGAGGAGGGGCGACTATATAGCTGTAGCCAATTAAAAGGCAATTTAGAATTCCAGAAAAAACATCTCACGTTTATTTGCTGTGGAAACTTTTGTCATGGTCAGCCACGTTCTGTCAGATTCCTGAAAACACAACCACAATGTGAAGAAGCGAAAGAATAACAAATGTAAACCCGAATTTTCGGGTATTTTCTCTGCGGTCTGTATATTTGTATACACACACAGAGATTTGAGTTGATTAACAACAGCGGGCCTGGAATTTCCTAGAATCTCCCACTCAAAGCCATCAGTGAATTTATGATACGAGTAGGAGTATAGAAAGTTGTATTATAAGACTATGGGATACCCGTTAGTAGTACATACTAATAAGAGTATTTATGGCATAGAAGTTTACATATTTTATAAATAGTTTTTGTATTTAAAATAATTCTAAAACGTTGCCAGCTACCAAAGACAAACATGGATGTGCATTGCGTGCAAAACCCATGCAGCTTTTTTGTTCAATTTGTTGTCAAGATCTTTTGTATCTCTTTATTTGCTCTAATATAAATGTAAATGTAAGTCTTATATATATTCCCCATATATAGACACGTGTATGGGACACTCAGGCATAAATACTTCAAAAATATACTTCCTGGAACTGCTGTATAGCATTCTGCATTCCGTTTAAGTTGAAGACAACACGGGGAGCAACTAAATTAAATTGTTATTCAGCATGGAGCAAGCACAAAGGACACGGCCACGTGCGCTAGCGCCCAGTGGGTGGGTGGGGCGTCTGTCAAAGGCTTCGCTGGCTACCACATGTTTGGGCCATATTTGTTGTGTGTTTGTTTGCGCTGGGAGGTGTTTGTGTTTTAGCTAATTTCGCGCCTCAACAAGTGTAATTTTGTTGTTTTTGTTACCCCGCTATCGGGGGGTAATTTTAGCTTTACTTGCCCTGCCCTGCCCGCCCCCACTGTCACGCTCATTTGTCGAACATGCATTCAATTTGCTGGCTATCTGAATGTTTGCATTGCCGAAAGCGATTTACAACAATCTATTTTGGGACCAGATAAGGCGAAATGATTTTGTTTTTGAGCAGATGGAAAGTTACGATAGTGCCCCGTACTCATACCCAGCCAAAGTACCCTCACCATTAGCATTTAGAAGCCACCCGAGGGGGGGGGATCGATGAAATGTTTGCACAAGCCATTGAGGATTGACATTTTGATGGACTGCCCCAATTAAGGTTCAATTTAACTGCCACTCCACAGCACAGCACAGCCAATGGCCGAGCTGCAGCTCATTAGGAACCTTCGCAGCCGTGGCTCCACCGGGTCGGAGTACCTTCGGGCGTCGAATATTTATACCTCGTCCTCGGCTTGCCATCAATTTTAAATGAATCTCGCATTCGTTCGGTCAATATTGGATGGCCTGATGGACTGATATGGCCTGGCTAACAGCAACAGCAACAGCCACAGCGACCAGCGATGATTGACTTTCCAAAAGTAAACACAATTTCATTTTCAATTTATTAAATTTACGCTCTTGAACTTTGCACTTTCCCAGCGGCAGTAGTGGCAGCCAACACCCGGTGGCAGTGGCAGTGGCGTGGCAGCAGCACGTGGCTGGGCACTCGAAGATATTAAGTATGCATGTCGGTGATGCAGCATTATTGAATTATTGATCCATCAAGAGCAATTGCGGAGTGAAGTGATTGTCATTACCATAATATCTGGCTTCTGTCGCCACCTGTTGCTCTTCTTCGCTCGGTCATCGTTCAAGTAGCATCCCCGAAGGGTTGAAACGCCTGCCAACTCATAAATGTTTGCCGTATAAATAGGTGATTCTAGGCACATAGCACCTCACGGGTAATTCAACCTGGGGGTCAGTCACTGTCACTCCAGGTCAGATTTAATTGAATGCCCAAAAGGGCAAATATCTTGTCAAATTTCTGTCCGCGCACATTAACTTTTCTCCTCCTCCTCCCTTTTTCCATTTAAACCAGAGCCATTGCCAGTGCAAACATATGGAAACACTTATGGAATTGCTAATGGTATGAATTAAACAGCTAGAAGGATTGTGCCACGAACTTAAAGCCATTTCAGTATCCATTCCAATGCCGCAGCTGTAGCTCAGGTGACTCGGGCATTGTTTCCTTGAATCTGAAATTTAAAATTCAAAACCTTAAAAGCCACACTGTGTCCCAATAATATGATATGCAGCCGCAACGTCATTTCAGAACCACAAGCGACAGCTCACCGCGTAGTGGGTGGTGGGATAAACGCTTGGCTAGCAACAGCAGCCAATGGGCGGGGTGGGGTAGCAGAAAGTTGGTGGCTTGCCAACAAAAGGTGAAACTTTTCCCTGAGTTGGCAATTGGGGTTTAATGGTTAGAGCCCGCCCTAAGTCCCCTACACCACAATTCCCACTTTCCATACAGATCCCCAGCTCGGGGGACTTTTGTGCACTGCTGCTCATTGCTATGCAAATTGCTGTATTTTCTTTAATTTTATTTTCCAGCAAAAGTTTCGAAACCCCTGTGCCCACCACCCGTCCCCATTGTTACACTGTTCTACCCCGCATATTGCCCGGTGGCTTGCCCCAAACCCATTCTCCTATCCGTTGTCGTTTTCGTTTTCGTTGTCTGTGGGTGGAAGGTTCGTGGGATAGCCTCGCCCTTGTGTTGACTAAGTAATGCTATTATGTGTGCTTGACCATATGGACTTGGCAGCGGGAGGGTCATCAGGCAGTGGACAGTGGCTGAAGGAGTTTGCATGCGAATCAGGAGCAGGAGCAGGTAATTGAGGCGCTTAGCTGAAGCACAGAAATCTGACTGTTAGGATGGACTCGAACTCGGACTCGGACTCTTGTGTGGATTATTGCCACTGAGCTGTGGCATCAATCCGCACAGGCCTGATGTGTGTGTGTGTGGGATCTGTTGCAGATGCTGAAACAACCGCTGGCGGTGGCTGTGTGTGAGCCCCATAATCGTTGGCTTATGGGCTCACTCAAAGCCAATTGTCTGGTCGTGGAAAGGGCCCAAATCGTAGTCATGCGAGTATACTCCTCTCTGCTGTTGTTTGTCTAATAATCTGATACTTAATTTTAATCAGCATGAATCTTAATCAGTATTCAGAGTTTGATTCATGATTCTCTTTTCGCTGCAACTGACGGTGCAAGTCTCTGCGGTTATCTAGACCACACTCTGGCCACCTTCTCCACCCATGGTAGGCCTCTCCGTTGGCTTTGACATTGCCGCATTTGGTCGCCACAATGTTGGCTGACATTCGTCTGTCTGCTTTTTGCTGGTCGTGGTCTCTGGTCGTGGTCTCTGGTCTGTGGCTTTTCACTTGATAGTTTTGCAAAATCAATAGACGCGTTTAGCGTCTGTGTAAGCCATTCAGGCATGTGCATACATACATACGAGCTGTGTGTGTGTGTGTGTTGGTTAACAATGGACGACAGCCATGTGGCTGTTGCCATTGAAATCAAACGGCGGAAGTGCTTCAGGCATAGGCAATACAGAAAAATTAGCATTGAATGTCAGGGCAACGCCAACAAAAGCAGGCGGCGGGGCAGAGGCAGAGGCCGGAAAAGGGCTATGGCAAAAGTTTTGAGGTTGGCACCTAACAACGCCCTCCACCCGCTGCCCCACTCATTGGTTGGGTTAATAGCCATCATAGGAAGATAGGGGAGAAATGTGTTCTTGGCACACGCCACACATACGCATATACAAGGGGCACGGGGCACCCATACGACGACACAATTAGTATGCCAATTGCAATTTGTGAGTTTGTGTCTGTGTGGCGGATATAATTTAGCGTTCAATCAAATCGGAAATGGAAATACCCACACACAGACACAGACACAGACAGATAGACAGATAGTTGAGTGGATAGTTGATTAGAGTTGGTTTGAATGGTTTGGTGGCTGGCAAAAAAGGGTTTTGCTTTTTCTGCTGTTTGTCCGCCAATTTGCGAGCTATTTTTCCGCATTACACAAAAAGTTCGCTCCCCCCCATTCTAGGACGCATGACGCACGTCGTGTAATTGTTTTAATTGCGGATTGGATTGGATTGGCTCTGCATGCACAGTATTTAGAATTTAGAATTCAGAATGCAAATTAGCAATTTTCAAAACTCCATCCTTCAGCGCTCTTTAATCCCACTAATGGGGACGACTAGGCATAGCTCTTTGGAGGCCAAACGATGAAATTTGCACATTTCCAAGGGTTCGGCTGTGGGAACAAGAAGAAGGTTTGGCCCCAAAAAAAAAAACACAAACTTTTAGCGTGCACACGCAAGGGAATTGTCGAGCAAGGAAGAAACTCCCATCAAAGCTCTGATGAGTTTCAAATTGTGAATTACGAGGGCGAAAGGGCGAGGAGGAATGAGGGAAGGTTGTGGATGATGATGATGATGGGGCACCGCCTCGAAACATGGAACGGGTGGAGAAAGTAACCCAGTTAAGAGTTAAGTTTAAGAGACTTTTCCCCGGCATTTCGCTTTAATTCAATTTGCAGTCTGCGTTCGCATAATCAACTCGAGTGCAGGCGCATGCGAATGCAAATGCCGTTCGCTGGATTTAATGAGCTTCAAACTTAATTGTTATGACCAGGCGGCATGGCATCCCTCTCCCTCTCCCTCTTCCATCCCTGCTACGTGCTGCACATGGTGTGTCCCTCGCCCAGGCAGGAGGCATAAGCCATCAGATGGGGGATGGTGCTCTGCTCGTAGACGCCTGTGAACAGATGCGACCAGGGACCCACAGCATAGACGGCCACATCATCGCCGCCGTGCGAATCGTCGTACATGGGCACGCCCGAGGGGAATTGGTCGTCGTGGGCGCCCGTCACCACAGTGGTGGGATCCTTGCGCTCCTTCGTCTCCGTGTCGTAGAACTTTCCATAGCTGGGGCCGTTGGCATAGCTCAAGATCATGTAGGGTGTGTCATCGGTGCCGTTCACGGGTGCCTTGCCGAAGATATCCGAGCCGCGGTTCTGCAAAGAATTAAACCCAAATAAGGATAGGAATTAAAGTGGGGTCAAGTGCTTACCCCATAGCCTGCGTAGCTAAAGACATGCGAGTGATCCGCTGTGACCACCAGCAGGGTGTCCTCCTCGCTGGTCAGCTCCTGGGCGGCGGCAATCGCTTTGGAGAACTCAATGGTCTCGTTGAGCGCCATGCGCGCCATGTTCTTGTGATGGGCCTGATCGATGCGACCGCCCTCGATGAACAGGAAGTAGCCCTGCTCGCTCTGACTCATGTACTCGATGGCCTTGCGCGTCATCTGCTCCAGCGAGGGCTGGGGACTGTCCTCCGCCGTCTCCATGCGGTACTGAATGTGATCATAGTTGAAGAGCCCCAGCAGACGCTCTGTGTTGGCCACATCCACGGCCATCAGATCGTCCACGGTGTCCACAAAGACGTTCTTGGCATTGGCCGCCTTGAACTCCTCAATCAGGTCGAGGCCATCCGTCCGCTTGCCTTCCTCCGCCAGAGTGGAGTCCACAAAGTTCTTGCGTCCGCCACCAAGGATCACCTTCAGCTTGCTGCCCACTGCGCCGCGTGCCAGCTGGTAGGCAATGTCCTGGACTCCCGAGTCGGCGCCGCAGTCGGCGAACACCTCCGCATCGTTCTCCCAGTCCCGCTCGGCAATGTGGGCGTAAACGCCGGAGGGAGAGGCATGGGTCACACGGGTGGTGGTCACCAGACCCGCCCACTTGCCCGCATCGATGGCCCACTTGGCGATCGAGTCGACGTGCGTGCTCTCGTCCAGCATGGCCGTGCAGTTGGTGCGTGGCACCACTCCATTGACGCCAATGGTGCCCTCCTGGGCCTTGACGCCGCACAAGTAAGCAGTGGCCGTGCACGCTGAGTCGGGCACAATCTTGTCCACGGAGTAGGTCTTCGAGAGGCCCGTGTAAGGGAAGTTCTCGAAGGAGAGGGCCTTCTCCTCGCCCCCGATTAGGTTGCGGGACGCAGAGGTTGTCGTTATGCCCATGCCATCGCCAATGAAGAGGATCACATTCTTGGCCTGACGCTTGTTCGGCTCTGTGGCCAGTTGCTTCTTGATGAACTCCACGCCCTGCTCGCGCCAATAGGCGTTCGTCTCCTCACCATCCACCTTGCGCATGGCACGCACCTTCGCGTCCGTCTCCGGAAGATCCGGATGCATAGCACGCTCCCGGCACTGCTCCGGGCCACGCAGGCACTCCGGTGCTGCCCCACCGGGGCTGGCCAGCAGGAACAGGCCAACGGCAATCAGAATTGCGTTCACTCGGAGGAACATCTTGCTGTAGACTGACCAAAGAGCTACCTTGGACTCGGACCGCGGCTGCCCAGAGAGCAGTCTAGCATTTGCCACGTCCTATCGATGCAGATTGCGATAAGATACGGGGTCGGAGGCGGAGGCTCCATAAACAGCAAATCGCCTCAAATCTAATACGTCTTTTAATTCCCCTAGTCCGAGGCGTGCTTTTATTTACGACGGAACCAGTATGAAATTTTATAGATTTATTGTGCTTTTCGCTCCGTGGCCGAGCACGTGAGTAGTCCGACTTGTTGCCTTGGTGGTGTGGTCATCAGCTGAATTCAGAAAGCCATTTCGCCATCACGTAATCATCTGGGAAAAATCCGAAAATCTGGCGGCTGCACGTGAACGGATAAGCCCCAATGAATGGGTGTCCACTGTACACCGCATTTTATTTATTTGAGAGAGAGAGAGAGACCCATAAAAACAGCTCGCTCGTGGCCATAAACAGGTGCCGGCAACCCACGCACTGCGCCAGCAATACAGCGAAAATGTTGCCTTTTAAATAGGAAACAGAGACCAAATGCAAAGGCATTGAAACGGAAGAAAAGCAGCTGCCAAGCAACCGTCCACCAAGCAGCAAACAGAAAGGTTAAAGTTGACCTGTCCAGCGGAGGAATTAGAGTGGGAGCACGTGGGGTTGGGAGTGGGAGTGGGAGTTGACCTTCATTTGCACTTGGCAGTGCTAACGGAAAATGGCCAAATGCCAGGGGGGATTGGAATCGCAGCCAGAATGCAACTGTTGAATATATGGAGATGGAGTGCACACACAAATCTGAAAATTGTTTCTACAAACTCTGTTCTGTTTGGGCACTCGATGTTATCGCTATTGCTGTCGCTATCGCCGCTGGCTGGCTGGCTGGCTGGCTGTTTGTTGGATGTGTTTGGGCAAAATAAATAGTCGATTTTATGGCTAAAAATACGAAATTCCTTGAAGCAATTATAATTTGACTCACTTTCGGATGTGTTTCCCAATGTGCACAAAGTACATAGTACACAGCACTGAACACTCTGCTTCTGCTGCTGCACCACATGAATAATGCGAATATTTATGTGCACACTGGGCGTATACGTAATTTTTGTTGTACAGCCAATAGAGCGGGTGCGATGCGGGGGTCGCAGCTAGTGTCGCAGCACACACACACACAAGCACACACGTAGTGCTGGCTAATAAATTTGGAGCTCTGTTTCGAGTGTCAAGATTGCGGCCATTTAGCCAAGGCAAGGGCATTAATCAAACAGCTAAAGCCTCATGGCTTCTGGCGCATAGCTTCTGGCTTTTGGGCAGTCCATTATATTAAACATCTGACACTGTCCCTCACACAATGACTTGGCTTTGTGCTAATTCTTGTACTTAAAATCCTTTGCAGACAAAAATTCAGCGTACTTATACTGGAGGAGAGCAGCTACGAGAAGGATGTCAGCTTCAAGGTTCACATCGGAATGCCACGATTGGCACCAGGTGAGTGTTGGCTTCTGACATATTGTAGCGCGTGACACAGCGCGCCAGCTGCAATTACAGCACCGAGTCCTAGACCAAATCCAAGTGCCCCCTCCTAAGCCCACAACCCACCACCCAAACCACCACCCACCCCCCTGTGACAATGCTAACCAAATTACTCGAAGCAGCCCAGCGTACTCGTAGAAGTGCACCGAAGATGGCACAAGTTTTCATCTTATTTGGTCAAAGTTCAACAGGCGTCACCGGGGAGATAAAATTCCCAGGGAAAAACCCACACACAACACACACGAGAATATATCCCACACTTTCCACTCCAGTCCACACTCTCCACACTCTTTCTCCACTCCACCCCACTTTCGAAAAGAATCTATATGAGAACGAACCCATTTCCACTCCTGCGACCCCGTTGAACCCAAAATATTAAGAACAGGCAAGAACGTCAAGGTCCAGCAAAAAATAAAAAAAATAAAAAAAAAATTGTCTGCAAATTGGACATTCCAATTTGAATTTGAATTTGAATTGAACGAAATTGCTACTTGGTTTCGTTTGTCTCTCTGGTCGCCTCCTATTTCTATCGACTCATGGGTTCTTTTTATACTTTTTGGTCATTTAATTTGTGTTCTTTATGCTTCTAGATTCCCTTCACTACCGTAAGCCTTGAATTGTGCATTAATTAATTTTATTTTAATTGAACACGAAAGCGCAAAAAGAACGTAGAACGTGGAACGTATTAACGTGAAGCGGAAAATTCCAAGAAAGTAACACAAATGCCATTTCTAAATTGGTCAACACTTTCGGGTTTCGGTTTCTGAAAAGCAAAAAATAAAAATAAAACAGAAAACCCTTGAAAATGGTTGCCCCGTGCAACACATAATTATTTCTGGTCCCTTTTGTTTGTTTCACCGAGTGCGGAAATTGCGGACAAAAAAGTGCAAATTCATTTGGCTATTTCCTTTTAGTTGTGTCCCAAGAAAACAAAAAAAAAAAAGTAAACAGCCACATTTTAGTTACGTATTTCGTTTCGTTTCGGTGTTGTGTATGTTCTTATGTTTCACCATCCAAGAGTAGATACCTTATGTGTATCCCATACCAATTGAAGTTCCCGTTTACCCACACCCACTCCCATATTGTTTAGATATTTTGCAAGAGGTTCTTGAATTGTCTTAAGTTTGAGTTGCCCCTAAATGTTCCCCATCGAAGTTTGAGCATAGCATTCTTCACTAGCATCTATGTATATCCCAAAACCAAACCCAGTCCAATAGAAAATCTGATCTGAATCCATTCCTTCCACCGTACCATACCCACACCACCACCTCCTCCTGACGCACTGTGAAGCACTGTGATCCTAAGTATTTATTTCTGTTGACCCATCGACCATTTGCTTGTGAACATAATTACATGATTAAACTAAAATACATACCCATTGTTCACACTTGTTTCTCCAATCCAAAACAAAACAAAACCAAACCAAACCAATCGAACTAATCCACAACGTAATTGCCAAATGAAACACACGTTCAATCCTCACGCAGATGACTTTAATAAGGAATCATTTTTCAATCGATTTTTTGGTATGTACACGTCTTTCTTTGCCATATCCTTTGCCTATAAGATTGAGATCAACAATTTCGAGTGTTCAGTTAATCGAGAATATGCAAATAAGTACAGCGAAACTACAGCGAAAGAGCTATAAATTCCAAGAAAACGCAGAACGAAAAACGATAAAGAAAGATGAAAGTATTTAGTAGCCATTCTCATTGTCATATGTTTTGGTTTTATTTGATCCTTTTGCCCATTAACACACAAACTTGTCGTATACATTATCAGAATTATGTCGTATCCGTCTCCGTATCAGTATCAGTATCCGTATCTGTATCCATATATATATATGTGTTGTGTATGTGTCTAAGTATGCGTATCTCTGTGTCGCATTCGCATTTGCATTTGCATTCAAGCTGTATCCATCCAAGAACAATTGCGCTTTTTCGACGCAGCAGCCACGCACTTGATAAATGCAACAAGCTTTAAGCTACTTGTGTCTAATCAATATTCGTATATCTAAAAAAAAAGAAAAAGAAAAAGAGATAAATGCAACAGAGCAAACAGCAATCGGTCGTCGGGCTTCGTCTTCAATTGAAATAAAATTGGTCGTGGGTCACAATTTTTGGGTAATGTTTTTGGTTATCTCTATGCTCGGCGGACACCTTTGTATTACACGCGCTTGTGCCCGCTTCTTCTACTCCTACTCCTGTTTGTGTGCCTGTGCCCCGACTTGCTGCTCGAATTTGAACTCGATTTCCGTAACGAAATCGGGAAACTCGAACACGGTATCGATAACACACCAATCAAACACGCCTCTGCATCGCCTCAAAATCAAAATCAATTTGTAAGTAATACACGCTACACTGCGTATCTAATTTGATCTCGAACGTACATATTATTACCAAACAACCAAACAATAAAAAATTGATATGTATTTGTCTTTGAGTTATTGGTTTGCCTTAATTTATTTATCTATATCTTCTTTTTTATTTGTATTTCGATTTGTGTGTGTTCTAGAACATAAGGCAACATTTTAAGCTTTATACTCCTTAATGATCGTGTACGGCTTTTGATTTAACCCTAACTGTGTCGTAAACCATGTCGATGTTTTTTTTTTTCTATCCGTATCGTACGTATCTTTCGTTCCGTTGCGTTCCGTTCCACTGCTGTCAACGTGTATACATATACATATATATATTGTATATGTATGTCTATCTATGTGTGTGTGAGTGTTAGAGTTTAATTGAATCGGAAAGTATATAGAACCCAGCTGAACATATATATCTAAATGTGTAACCGATCCCTAGCCAAGTCAAGAAATGCTCCAAAATAAAACAAGGTAAAAGGATAAATATCGCCCAATCACCACACACCGCACTCACTCGTAGGCATATTCGTTAACTGAATATTTTGAAAGAGATTGTTGAAGCCAACATACATACATATGTGAGCATTTTAAAAACCGATTTATCTGAAACTCTACCACCCCCTTGAACCTACTCATCCACTTGTCATGTCGATGTGTCTATAGACAAACACGAACACTCTGGAGATCATACCTGTGAGTCATCTTGAGATATATCTAGAGACCTTTTATCTACCCATATTCGTATGCATGCCTCTCTCTCTCTCTCTCTCTCTTTATCTCTCTCTCTCTCTCTAATTATATACTTTAAACATACATACTCGTATATGTATGTCTCTTTATGTGTCTGCTTAATATGCAGTTTATCAATTTCCATTTTCCACTCAATTGCATCCTGACGGGCAATTTAGCATAAATATTTTTGCCAAGTCATTGGAACGCTCAAGAATATATAAAAATCTGACTTGTCCTTTAAAGGACACACACACACTCTGTGTGTGTGCGATGTGTACTTGAGCTTTTCATTGAATTTCTATTTGTGTACCCGTACTCGTATTTTCTGTGTGTGTATCTATTTTTGTGTACCTATGAGTTAGTAGCTTTTCCCCGTAACCAACTTCAGTTCAGCAGCAGCCTGGCTTATCTCATCTCTTCTATTCTCTTTGCCTTTTTTTTGGTTTTTTTTTTTGCTGCTTTCTATTTCAATTTCAATTACAGCCCGCATCCAATTATGTACCTCCAGCCATATGCTTTTATTTGGTTGCCATTTCCAAGCTAATTGTGGCGTGTGTGTGCTCCGATTCTATTTGAATTGGAAATAAAATTGAAATAAAATATATATTACCTACATATAGGTTGCTCGACTTGGCTTTAATCGTTAAACTGTCTCTCTTTCTCTTTATTGGCTGACTATTTCAATGTTGCACTGTCCGCTTACCCTACCGCCTCGACTATCTGTCTACCTACCCCTGTGTGTTGCTCCATTAAACTGTATCCACTGCACCGCACTATCGTTTTGGATGCAAACACACACACAATATCAATATCTATATCAATATCTGTCTATACTTATGCCATGTATGCTTAAGATACTCTATTGTGGGGCGGGAAATGGGTGTGGTTGCATGCAAGTCGAAGCTGAATTCCATTTTGAGGCAGATATCTAAATTTCCGTTTACTTCCCTGTTAACGCCGCTGCCGCTGCCACTGGCCAGACGATGAACTTCTAGCGAAAATCCAAGAGGTGGAGAGCAAGGACACCAAAGATTTGACCGAACTGGACCGCATCCTGTTGCTGAGTAAGCCCAGAAACGGAGAGCTGACCACCGCACATGTCCGCATTCGAGAGAGCAAGGAATTTAAGGTAAGTGCCTGGGTTGGGGTTGGGTCCACTCGATGATTGGACTAGATCCCAGACAGAGGACAATGCAAATGAAAAGCAATTCAATTCACTTGACGGCTGCTAAGCTGTTGAATAATCACAGCCAAATCCCAGCAGCACACATTTACATCGGGTTAAGTGAATGCGTGCAAGGGAGACACCAGACAGACCAGACACACCCCATAATGATTCCCTTGCTGCGGGCGGAACTGTGCCAGGTGGCTATCCTTATCCTGTTGCCAGATCGAGTTACAGCTAACCGCTCAGGTGCCAGGCAAATAAGCACCTAATTGTGTGTAAATCTCCAAATGACACGTTGTGTGTTCATGCCTGTCTGTCTGTCTGTCTGTCTGTGTGTTATAATGCATGCGTATACGTAATGTGTGTGTATATGTATCCCATTTCACTCTCACCACAGGCTACTGTCGACAAACTGGTGGCCAAGGCGAATACTTCAGCCGTGCTTGGCACATCCTCCTGGAAGGAACAGTTCAAAGATGCCCTCACCGTCATCCCAGGTAAGCTCAAAGCTCACGCATCATCAGATAAACGAATAAACGAGTATTCCGTAAACATTTACAGCCGATGAAAGTGAGTACGATGATGTGGACGAGGATGTCGAAGAGGTGGTGCCCAGCTGCCTCAGTTACATCAGCCACTTTGTCTGCCTATTCTGGAAGGTTCTCTTTGCATTTGTGCCGCCCACAAGTGAGTCTCGCCACAGGCTGCAGTCTCCTGTCTCCTGCTATTCCTTACTGTATTCTGATTCTATTCCCCCTTAGACATTTGCGGCGGCTATGTGACCTTTGTGGTTTCGATAAGCGTCATTGGAATCATCACCGCCGTCATTGGGGATGCCGCCACCTATTTCGGTTGCGCCCTCAATATCAAGGATTCGGTTACCGCCATTCTGTTTGTGGCCCTGGGCACCAGCATACCAGGTAAGCCAACCCACCAGCCATCTGACACTCTGATATGCCCAACACTCTGATTGATTCGTTGCAGACACATTTGCCAGCATGATTGCGGCCAAGCACGACGAAGGTGCCGATAACTGCATCGGCAATGTCACGGGCAGCAATGCGGTCAACGTATTCCTGGGCATTGGACTGGCCTGGTCCCTTGCCTCCATTTACCACATGGCCCATGGCAAGACCTTTAACGTGGAGCCGGGAACGTAAGTTTGCCTTTAGAAACTTTAAAACATTTACTGACCCATTCTCCCACTCTCACACTCTCCCACTCTCCCTTTTATAGGATTGGCTTTGCAGTGGGGCTCTTCGTGGCCTTGGCTATGGTTGCCGTCTCTCTGATCATGTTCCGGCGCTGGAACAAAAACATTGGCGCGGAGCTGGGCGGTCCTAAGACTTCCAAATATTTGTGCGCCTCGATTCTGGTGTTCCTCTGGATTTTCTATGTGGTCATCTGCACTATGGAAGCCTACGACATCATCCGTGTCTAAGCGGACTACACCACACCAGCACCAGCATTCGAATGGCGTTGGCTCAAACGAAGCACGCGAAGAAGCTGTTCGAGGGAAGCAGTTTTATGAATGTATATGTATATATATATGTACGTGCGTGTGCTATATATATATATATAAACATGATTGATATTTATTGTGTAAAATTTATGTTAATACTAAGTAAGAGTAAAATTTTAATGTTTAACTAGGTTTGTAAGTTGGGGCATATTTTGATTTTATTTCATTTTAAATATTGCGTACTATTTTACGATTACATAACGTTACTCCCTTTTATTGATATATATACAGATATGAATTGTAAATACAGAAAGGCTGCCACGGCTCAGCAATCTTGTAATTGTAACGAGATCATTCATTGTTATGCCATATATACTTAATTATACATACTCTAAAATACGATTATACATAAATACATATACATATATATTTATTATTATATCATTCTGCGTACAACTTAAGTCATTGTTGTTGTTTGTTAAAGCTGTACTTAATCCAAGTCCACAAAAACGTGTGAACGGAGGGGATCCCGACACCCCTTCGGTTTTGAATTCGAATTTAATTTTGAAATTGAAATCGTCTCTCCATTTGTCAGAAATCATTGTTAATTTAATACATGTGTAAGTTTTAGCAGAAAATTAAATGTTTTAGCCAACAAACAAACAAAACCAGAAAACCCTCTAAGCTAAATACAACTACTAATACTAAATACAACTACTAATACTACGACTACTATTCGAACTATTAATAATTAGGCAGACTACCCAACAACTAGTTCTAGTCCCTCCATGCTAAATCTTTTTCCTGAACTCTGACCAAAACCAAGTGGGCGGCACTTACTACTTACTAGCCTGGCGATTAGTCCCCGTAAGACCATCAGTGTTTCTACACTGCACTACAACAACAGGAGCACTAATCAATTTACTTAAAACAACCAAAAAAAAAACAAAGACTTTCAATTTGCTTATGTCGCAGTGGCAGTGATCGACCGAAAACGAAGTAGAGAACAAAAGTCCGGATATTAAGGCAAACACCAAAACCAAATAGATGAATGAATAAAAAGCAAAAAAAATGTGAATGTACGAGTACGATTACGAGTAATCAAAGTATAATAACTGTAGCAGGTACATATTTTTTGTATAATGTACTACATATTTTTTTCATACATATATTGTAGCAAAATTATAGCTAAATAATGGGAAAAGGATAGAAAAGAAAATAAGAGATAACGAAAAAGAAAGCCTAATGATATTTATAGCCATGCATAAATTTGTATTATATGGGGAACTTGCTGATAGAACTTCGCCAAATTTAGACGTAATTGAAGTAATTAATTACCAAATACATATACACACACATACATACGAGTATGAACGATGAAACAAAGGAATAAATATAATTATAACTGAAATATGTATGTATTAAATTATATTGTCAATGTTTATTGCTAGATATTATAATTAAATTTCATTTAAAATTTATTTTCATTGATTTTTTTCTTTTTTTTTTTGTATTTTAATTTTCTCGTTGTTTAAGCGCAAATACTCGTCACATGATCAGATCACAAATGTTGTTTGTAGTTATGGATTGATCAATGGATATTCAATGGATATTACTGCAGTTAACATGCGATTCTGTGGGGGGATCGTCCAGGGGTCAGGGTAAGTCTGGCAAGGAAATCAATAGAAAATAGAAAATGAATAGCGTATGGAATGAAGTGCCGAACAGCAGTAAACACTAAACAATAGGTATAACAAACCAGACAAACATACACACATACATAACCCATACAAGTGGGCAGACACACATATAGTACAGACCTACATATATATATTTATCTATAGAAGATTACATAAAATGGAAAAGGCAAATAAAGCGATAAAAGTGCTTCCGACATAGGATGTAGGTACTTTTTGAAGGAAAAGGATTTTACTATTTATTTAATTTCTTTCTTGCCTTAACGACTTTTCTAATTTCAAATACTTTTTATATATTTTCTAATGGGTTTGTTTAATATTCAATTTCCTCTTTCCGTATTTCCGATATCCTTTCTGTAGATGTACGATAATGAATGAATTATGATGTAAATCTGTATGCTTGGATGGGGCAAAACGAATTACTTAATATGTGTATGTGTATTGTACAATATTAATTATTTGCTGTTTGTTATCGTGTATTTTCGAATTCAAATTATACCTGCATTTTTATATGTATACTTATAAATGTGATTTTACCCAAAAAACAAACCAAAACAAATGCAAAATATAGGTATATATTCGTACATTCAGACTATATAAAAAATATTCAAGAAGCAAAGCAAAGCAAAGTAAATTTTTAATCAAATAGCAGATCGAATACGACATATACATACATACATACATACATATATGTAGCTACTGTAGCATACTAATACGAGTATATATATATACACATATATATGTAGTATGAATGCAGTTAGATCTGTAGCCCATCTTACTAACGGTATTGGTATCTTTATTGCTCTGAGCCCAGAGAGATCAGAGGCTAGAGGCAGATCAAGAACTCCCTCTCTATCTCTCTTCCTCTTAACTACAATACGATATAAGAACTTGAATATTCACTTTGAGAATTTACATACTCGTACTTTAGGGCAGGCAAGAAATAAATGCTTATCGTTTTACTACCCAGAGCCTATCCGGCTAGAGTTACAATAATGGCATCAGCCGCTCAGCAATGCTGCTGCGAATGAATGTACCTACTATTTCCAGGCATGTTAACCCAATAAACTACACATTAAACCGACTGCGTTTGTCCATCTTTTGCTACATTTTTTTTTTGTCTCTCATTATCTCTTATCTGCCTGGCAGACAGCAGACCTATCGCTATGGGAAACTGGGCGCTGTTATGCAACCGAGAGGAGACCCAAAAAAAAGCTGCACAAGATAAGCTCGGGAATCAGCGTAGAAAGCTGGTTGCGTTGCGGAAGATGAGCACACACAATGAAGCGGAGAGATAAAGTTGTTTACGGTATTCCAAATACTCGTACACACACAGCCAAATAGCAATATAACACAATGGAGCTGCCCCTCCTCGCGTGGCTAATTTAAGTTGAAACAAAACCCAAAGGCAGTCGCCAGTCGTCCGCCAGTTCTCCACGGAGCAATCACAGCCGGATTGCAGTCGGTCGCCTTTTGGGAGAGAGCAAAACTGTTTGTAATCCAGGCAGACAGTCCTGACAGACAGACAAGGCAAATATGTCGTCCTGTGATGAGAAGACAGCGCTGCTGGCATCGCAGCAAGGACACCAGCAGAGCCAGCACATCATTGTTGTGCCATCGTCGCATCCAAAGGATTATGGGCCCATTTTCACAACTGCTGAGTAAACGCTTTCTGTCGCATTTCATTAAAAAATAACTTTGTTACACAGCGTTTCCCAATCCCAACCCCACCCTCCCCCTACCCGACCAGCTACTCGTTCGGTCTGACGCTGGAGGAACTGCTGCCCTTCGCCCTGGATCCCTGGTGGCAGAGTGTGCGGCGCCTGTGTTCTTTCTGCCTCGGGTTTGTCTTCCTGCTGACCCTCTGTGCCGCATTGGCTCTGGCGCACTCCAACAACGATGGCTGTCGCTCAAATAGAGCAATTAGCACGACCGGCACTACAAACAACACGACGTTCCCGTTCCCGTTGCCGTTGCCATCCACATTCTCTCCGCCAGTGGCCTTGGCATCCAATGGCACTCAGCTGCTGCTGTCCAGTTTATAGCCCAATCCCCGGAGCTCTTGACGATGCCGCAATACCATCCATGGGATTACATCAGCCGCGCTCCCAATACGCCAGCTGCTGTTTGGCTTTCCGGCAACGACTACGGCTACGGCTTTCCCCACTCCGACTCCGACTACGAGTATTCCTCCATTTGCTGACTAAGCGATAAGCAGTACGGAATCGATTGTGTGTGGCTGTGGCTGTGGATGATTCGTGTTTGATTAAAAGCTTACTTTAATTGTCATTACTTGCTATTCATTTATATTTTTAATAGGTACAATTAAACACAAGTAAACACTTTTTAAACTGCAAGTAAATAGGAATTGAAGTGCTTATCATGATGTTGTTGCTGGGCAGGAGGCAGTGTCCTTTAGTTCGTAAAGATACTGCCGCCCGGAAACTACAGATTTGTTCTTGATTCTCACATTTATTTGGCATTTACTCATAGTTCAGAATCCTCATATAAACCTCATACATTTCCAGCACTACCGGCATCCAGCGTGGCTTTCTTCGGCTCCTTTGATATTATTACCCGCACCGCTTTGTCCGTCCGACTGATGCTCGCTCTGTGGAGTTCTGGCGACTGCTTGGCCTCTGACCAGGCCTCGAGATCCAAGTTGAAGCCGGCCAAATCCCGACAGTCAACATAGCGATTGTCCTCCACCCGATGACGCTCCATGACGCGCTCACGAACTCGCGTTATGCCATCCGAATTGCGACAGATGATGGCAGCCAGACTAGTCTTGTAGATCTCCGCCAGTTGTCCTGCCGTGCATTAGAAAAGATTAACCAATCACTAGACACCTCTGCAGTTGGACAGGACTCACCTTTGGTGAACCTCTGGGGTCCCATTTTCCGCTCATACCAGTGGGAGTCGCCCAGCTTAAGGCGCAGGAACTGGTCGGAGACCATGCAGCTCAGCAGCGGACCGAAGATGGCGCCCTCGAGCGGCGGCTCGCTGACGGCTCCCGTATACACATCCACATCCTGCGGAGATCTGAGGGTCAAAGAGTTTTGAGCGGAGTGGAAAGGCAGTGTGTGTTGGCGCTGTACCCACTCATATATCTGCTTGATGGACGCCAAAGTGGCGTTGTCAACCGCCTGGGCCATCTGCTCCCACGTGTCCACCGGCGGCAGGCGGCAGTGACGTCGGAACACCGGATAGGCGGGTATGCCATGATCGCGACCCCGCTGAATGTTCAGCGAGACCAGGTCCAGACCGCAGAGTGGAACCGGATCCTCGGCATTGCCCTCAAACAGCTTCTGGGTGACCTCCAGCGAGAAGAAGCGATCCACGCGCATCACTGGCGTATTGGCAGCCGTATTGAGGGCGTGGTCAATGCCGTGCTCGTTCCATAGCGAGAAGGGATTGAAGAGCATCTTGTGCAGCTCCATCGCCTCGGGCGTGCTATTGTCCCGCGAAACATTGAACAGACCCGGCAGCAGGGTGTGGGCGAACCGAAAGGCGGCCGCAGCAAAGCAATTGGCAATGCTGGGATCCACCTGCGGATCGTACGTATCCGGCTCGTCGAGACTGTCGCTGGACGGTAGCAGACCCTTGGCCCGAGTCAGATTTCTGCCGAGCAGCACCGGCAGGAACTCGTTGTAGGTGATGTGGGCCATCTGTGCGCCGACAATCTTGCGGGCCTCCTGATAGATGCGCTCATCGTCCCAGTCGGGATTCACTTCGTGGAGGCTGCGGGCCAGGTTGTTGTGGTGCCTGGCCCAGAGCAGGTGCATGGAGGTGAGCAGCAGATTCTCGTTGGCCCTATCATCGCCAGACTCGAAGCAGTACCTGCCCTGACGTGTCATCTGGACGCGGTTGCAGCCATCTGCCGGATTGGCCGAAATGGGCAGCAGCTCCCGTCCGTCGTCGGTCAGGAACATGCGCAGCGTGCCATTGATGAAGCTGCGCAGCTGGTTCTGGCGCTGCTCCAGGTTGCCGTACACCACAGAGGCATCAATGAAGGCGGTGGCCTGGTTCAGCTGCATCCTCGGCCCGAATCTGCCCATTGGAGCCGGCGCCGAGCGCACAAAGTTCATGCAGGTGACGTTGTACCGCTTGTAGTAGGGATCGTCGGGCAGGATCTCCACGGGGAAGCACTCTGGATGCTGTTCGCGAGTGGCTGCCACACAACAGTTGATGGACTCGCCCTCCTCGGAGGTGGTCAGCGATGTGGCGGTGATGTCGTGGTCCATGAACTGCCCAAAGACCGCCAGCATGACGGTGAAATTTGAGTCCGTCTCGTAGCTGGAACGATGGATCTTCAGGGAGACCTGGCGTGCGGGTGGTAGGCGGCCCGCATGACTCTCCCTGGGAGCTGCAATGCCATCGGCGTAGTCCGGTGCCACCATACGGCGGTAGGGCACCATCGAGGCACCGAATGTGCGCGGATGCTCTTTGCTGTTGCAGACGCCAGTCGATCGCCTGTAGCGGTCATTGAAGTCACAGTCCAACCGTAGCACCGTAGGATCCGGCAGCGCGATCTGTGGCCCCCAGCCAATATTGCTTCGACCCGGCTGCTTGGTGTAGTTGAATCTGCGGGCAATGTCCATGGTCGCCTGGTTCTCGACGTAACCACGACGTGCCAGCTTCCGAGCCTCTGGATTGGTGCTCAGCGAACGATAGTGCCGGAAGGCTGGCGTGTTCACCTCATTCGGCTGCAGGCCTTCCTCCAGTATCTCACGGTCCCCCAGCGCTTTGATGCCGGCACTAACTGATCGGGCGCCCTCTTGATGATCCACAGCCGCCTGTTGTAGGGCCCAATCCGCTGCTGGCTCATCTGGTATAGGTGTCATCGGGGCCAGCTCCAAGTGCGTTCCGTTTATAACAAAGAAAAAGCTGGGACTACCATCCCCTTTGGTGAGCGAGTCGTCGAACACCAAAGCCAGGCCCAAGGCGACAAACACAATGACGCTGCGGACAGGTAAATTCAATCACTTTGTGGCCAGGGCGACAGAAATATGGGAAATACTTTTCCCCCCCAACCCACTCACATGAATGTAATGCCTATGCAGCACTGCAGCTGTTTCATTTTGTTGCGACGCGAACGCGGCGATACGCCGCCTGGAAATACGTGTTCGGGTCCTTGATAGGGAGGCAGCGCCACATATCCAGAGCCACCGGCGATGGCGGTGGTGAGTGGCGTTGTTTCGTCCGTCATGATCGAAGCTGAACTGATGAGAAATGCAGCCAGGGGCCCAGGGCGACTCGACGCTAAGGTTGCGCCAACACTTGGAGGGCTTCCCACTCCGTTCGCCACACTTCAGATACTTTCGCTGGCAGCGCAGCGCTTGGCAGTGCCAGTCTACATATAATATATTATAATCCCAGCGGTTGAGCAGTGGAGTAACAAAGCTGGCAACTGTCCACCAGGCCACACACACACACACACACATCACATATTGAACTCTTAACGTAAACTTTAATAAATGTAAATGCTTGGGGGTAGGCAACAGACAATTAGACTTCCATGTCGTCTGGCTGTTTGAACATATCGGCCACATACTCGTAGGTCAGTTTCAGCAGATACTGGAACGACTTGTTCTGCGGCATATCGTCCAGTTCAGTGCTCTCCAGGAACTCTTCCATGGGCGGCAGAAAATTGTCGTTCTCCTGGCCCATCAGCTCTGAAATTTCAATGATTTTGAAGAACATTAGCTTCTGCATGTACTCCACGGCATTATTGGGGTCATAGTCTATCCAGTTGTCGCGGCGTATGGCCGCACACCAGATCTTGTGGCGCAGATCGTAGGGCTGCTCCACAAAGCTCAGAAGCTCCAAGGCCTTGCCAAACTCCACTTCGGTGGCACTCTCATTTTCCTCGGCGATATACAGCTGTGGAACAGATAATATTGTAGGTGGTTGTTTTTTTTGTTGAGCCTATGGACAGACAGACTCACATCGATTATATCCTCTGCTTTGAGCACCTTCTGTTCAACTGGGTCGAGGCCAAAGTTTTGCAGCACGTCATGGCTCAACTGCGACTGATACTCGATGAGCGTTAGATCAGCATTAATCTTCTCCACCTGGGCCGTCAGGTCAGAGTCGGGCGCCGCAAAAGCAGCCAGTTTGGACAGAGACAACATCGACTTTTTGCGCGCCACAATCTCCTTCTCGTTTTGCGCCAGCTCGTACAGCACCTTCGCTGCCCGCTCGTAGTCGCCGTTGAATATCAGCTGAATCCAGCCCAGCGATGGATGGTCGCGCATGAACTGAGCCAACGCCAGCTGGTTGCCCTTGAAGCGCTCGAATACCTCGCCATGCCGTTGCTGCCGCAGATGCCAGCTAATGGCAAACTTCGAGAATTCAAACTCCTCGTATTTGCGCGTGTAATCATCCAAACGGTTCTTGTCTTTCGTCTCGTCGCATATTATCACCAGACTCTGAAAGTCCAGATACTTTTCGGCCAACTTAGCGGCGTATTCGTACTTGCGATCCTTGACTGGAAACAGAAATGAATATGAAATACAGCCAGGTGGCATATGGAAAAGCCACTTACTCAGTACTGAGATGAGTTCACTGCGCTGTGCCTCGAACTGCTGCTGCAATACATTGGCCTTCTCGGAGCCCCGCACACTATCCAAGTAGCTCTTGCGCCCCTCCAGCACCAAGTCCACCATCTCGTAGATTTGCTGGTACAGCTTCTGCTTTACCTCCGTCTCACTGACGCACTGGGCGCCATAGCGCAGGCTGAGGTCTATGAGGCGGTTGAGTGTGTCCCGAACGCCAGCACTGCCCGACATTGCCGTCCAGGGAAGGTTCTCGCAGGCGGCTAGTCTGTCGTTGTGTCGTGTATAATTGCTCCCCTGCTGTTCACGATGCATAAACACCTGGCCCAGCGTATCCAGGACAATGGAATTGATGTCATTGAGGAATTGGGCCACCGTCACAGTGGTTTGAATCTGTGCTGAAATCTGATTGTCAGCCAAGTCTGCCAGGGCCTCGAATACGGACTGGAATTTGCACAGTTTCACATAGAATATATCCTGGGTGGTCAGGCTGCCGTTGGGCTTCTCATCCCACATGGCAACAGTGGCATCGATGGCATTTTCGATGATTTTCGGCAGTTTGGCCTGCAGGGAGCGCAGTGCCATGGCAGCCACTATCTTCTCGCTGATATCGGACAGAATAAAACTGGTCGGCTTCAGCACATTACTGCCGCAGGGTATGGCATTGAGCTGCAGAAAATGGATGTGAAATAAAATCAAATCAAAAGAAAGAGCAATAAATAATAATCACCTTTTCCCAGATGCCGCTGGCATGGAGAAACGAAACAAAATGCTGGAAGGCAAGGATTTTGTCACGCAGCTGATGGATGATTTGCATGGAGCGCGAGCTGCCCAACGCATGACGATTGCCCTCGTGATCGCCCAACGCCTCTTCCCAGCGTGGATCGGCAATGGGTAGATCCTCGGCCAAGTCCTCGGCAATTGTGATGACAATTCTAAATGGGAATACAAATTTTCAATTGCTGCTAGGCATTTGGTAGAGTATTCAAGCGTTCACCTATCCAACTTGTAGGCATCGAGGGGTGCACCGCTTGGATCGGGCTCATTGACAGCGCGCAGAAGCTCCCCGACAATGGTCTTCACCATGTTGTTATTACGCTTTAGGTGGTACACGAAGGCAGCCTTTAGCTGGCCCACTTCGTCGCTCAAATCACTGTACAGCTCCTCGGGATCCAGCTCGAATACATGCAGATTATTGCTGCTGGCAGTCATGGCGGACTGATCGGGCGCATTGAACGAAGCATTGAACGAAGCTGGTGCAAACAGATCGGGCGTGTTGCAGGTGCTCATATTATGCAGCTCGTTGGAATCAAAGTCGCCGGGCGTGATGGAAACCAGGCCGTGGGTGCGGCTAAAGAACAGCGGCAGGCGACTGCAGACGGCGGCGCATAGGATTCGATCGTCGTGCAGATGGAACTCAATCTTCTCCGCCTCAAGTTCGGCTGTGGGTACGGCGTTGGACAAGAGCAAAGGATAAACCACCTTCGGGGTGTAGAGGTAGATGTGGCTGCTGCCAATAATGAAGCGAAGGCTGACGCATTCCTCTTTGGTCTTGGCGTTGTAGAATTTATTGAACTTCAGTGGCGTGAATGACTCCAGCAGCATGCTGTCCGCTTGAGCACTGGCCACAGCTACGAATGGCATCAAAAATGTTTCAACTTGAATGAGAAATTCTGCAATGGCATTGGCTTACCAACGGCATAGCACATCTGTGGCGCGTGAGCAGCGTTCACAGCTCCAGCCAATATGTAGGCCTTCTCGTCAACGATATGAAAGTCGAGCAGTTGCAACTCGAGTTCCACGTTGTCTGTGGGCGCTCGGATATTCCAGACCTTTTGCTTAAACTCTTCGCGAATCCTGCGCACCACCTCTGCATCCTCGTAGATTAAACTTTCTGTATTCCCCTTGTTCGACAGACTCCAGCGCTGGATGGAACGATCCGAGAGCACAGCCACAACCGTTTCACCTTCAGGAGAATTTCTCTCACAGCACATGCCAACCAAGAGCTGGAAAATAGTTTGAATATTATTTGGGAACCTTTTGTGAATGGTAATGCAAGCCTCACCGGATCCTTGTCGCCACCCGTATTCATTCCAATCAGCATGGAGGATAATTTCTTGCCAAATCCACCAAGCAAACTGGTGGCCGGCTTAATGGTCTTGTGGTGCAACGTGTATCGGCCATTGGTGAGGCCCACGCGGAGAAATACCAAATTGCAGGTCGTGGTCACAGCCAGGTAGCCCTGTTGCGCAGGCAGATTGATGAGCTGAACAAAGTCCTGGCCGGCCAAGATCGGCAGATTCACATTGTTCCCGTCATGGGCTATGGATGACCAATAGCGCACATCTCCGGTGGCAGAGACGGCTATGCAGGAGGCCATTTGCTGGCCATCTGTCTGGAATACACTAATCAGGTCGCTCTTGTACCCCAAGTCGGAGTAGGGCAGCTGCAGCTCGCGGCATTGCGACAGCCCAGCACCCCGTCGTGGATGCTTGGCAGTGCGGGGCGAAGAGCCCGACTTGGATGACTCTTTGTACTGCCAGATTAGGAGTCGGCGGCCGTGCACAACCTGAAATGAGACGCAAATTGAATTCACAGCCAAAGCATTTCTCGACTCGTGGTGCTGTTGCTCGTACCCAAGCCCAACCATTCTGGGCAACCTTCGCAGACACGGTTCCGGCAGCAGATCCCACAAACGTCAGGGCCTCGTTCACAACGACGGGCAGTGGGAAGCCAAAGCTCTCCACAACATTATAGTCCGACTGGATGCCGGGTATCGACTGGGTGGATCGCACAGACAAACTTAGCCGGCTGTGGGAAAAGGGTGCTATAAATCATCTTTACACATGCGAGACCTAAGTTTCCGCACCTGTTGCTCAGCGCCGTCTTCTTCAAGCAGCTCGAGTTGCCGCCAAAAAATGATTTTCGCGTGCTGTCTGCCACCGGCGTATTAATTCGGCGGAATCCTGGCGATGACTCGCGCGCAATTCCGTACAGCTGCTTTTGCATGTTTCGTTCCATTATTTAATTATTCAATATGATTACTATGACACTATCAACATTTATTTTTTGTTTTACGCGAAAATAACAAAATTCAAGAATTTTTAATTAGCGATGTATATTTCTTGCATATTTCATCGATGCACAGGGTAGAGTAACTTAAAAGAAATATCGATAGTTTTGTGCGATAGACGGCACGAAATACTATTGGTGGTATTCCAAAGATATGTGTCATACGACCATCATTCTCGTGCATTCATCGGCACACGATGTCATCGCTAAGACCCTTGTTAGGAATTTCACACTATTTCGTAAACAAAAATTTGAAATTAAACCGAAATAGATGGCAACCTGGACGCAAAATGAGCCGACAGGCGTCAGCAAACGTAGGCGTTGGAATCTAGAAGGTAACATATACACATAACCATATGTCAGGACAAAAGCAATAACAAACAATAAAATTTCCAAAATGACCACAGACCGAGCCTCATTAAACAAATTGAAGAACCATATTGCCCAGGAGGGATGTCCTCAAATGCAATATGATTTGGCAAAGCAGATTCTGGACAACACTATAGGTAAGTGACAACACAATCCCGATTCATAATACATCCGAAGGTAAAGTTTGGCTGTCTTGACTCATGCAGAACCGAATATGGATAAAATCGAACAGTACCAGAAGGCCGTCAATTGGCTTGTCACTGCGGCTCACAGTGGGCATGAGGATTCGGCCAAGTTGCTGAAAAATTGCTACAACGACGGCCGTGGTATAACGGCAGAGAATGCGGATGATGTGCGTCGCTGCCTGTCCATGACTCCTGGCGAGCGAGCGGCGCGAAAAGCGGCTCGTGAACTCTTTGCCTGTCTGTCGAACGGCAACGAGCACGTCACGCCCAAGCAGCTGGAAAGAAAGATGCGATGCATATACAATCTTCAACGGAAACGTCGCAGACTTGAGGATGAAACGTCCGGGTCCAGCAGCGAGGGCGAGCCGGAATGTGAGCTCCTGGGCAACATGGAAACCATAGGGCATGCAAACGAGGAGCATCAACGCTTAATCACCGAGGCCAACCTCGTGTCGGCTGCTTCCAACTACAGTGCCGGACGGATGCCCACAGTAAACGACACATTGACACTGTCCGTGCCGGATCCCAGGAGCTTGGACCATGTGCCCCGCTTCTACCGCATCTTTTTCCACCCGCTCATATTTTTCACCCTGTTCTACCACCGCCTGGTGAACTGCATCATCTCGTTGCCCAGCATATTACCCGTGAGCGTGCGCCTGGGTCTGCTGATAGCCCTCTCCTGGTGGAGAAGCTTCCAATTGGTGCCGCTGATCAGCTACTACTTCAGCGTGGGCATGATGATTTGGGCCACCTGTAAAATGCTGAAGACCAAGCAACAGTTTGTGGACTTTCGCATTTGGTCGGGACTGTTCCTGCGCTATGGCGACAACAACATCGATGCGGGCATTGCGGAGAAGCGCTTCCTGCGGAACAACATGAAGCCGTACGTGTATTATTTCGGCGCCTTCATCTGCAACCTGATTGTGTATCCACTCGTGGCTGATGGCTGGATGCCCCACTCAGAGCTAACCATAATCTCCGGAGCCTTCACGCTTCTCACTATGGGCGTCAGCATGTACGCCTCGTCTGATCTACTGCCCAACTGGGTGGTGGTTGTCTCCTTTGCCGTCAACGTCCTGGCCAAGTATCCCTATGAGATGGACAAGGTGGTTACATCCCGCTGGCGCTTCCTGGACCTGCGTAAGCCCACCTTCTCGACCTTTGTCATTGGCAACGGCATTGAGTTCTGCCTGAACTGCCGCACAGCCTTGTACCTCTTGATACCGGTGCTTCTGGTGATAATGGCCAAACGTTCACGCTGGCACGGTGTCTACACGCATCTTATTCCACACTGCGTCACGCTCTGCTGGCTGCAAGTGTGCATCGCCACCTCCCAGAGTGCCACCATGTTCGGTGTGATTCGCGGGACTCTTGTCCTCGCCGGATTGGTGTTGTTCCTGCCCCTATTTGGCATGGTGGCGCTCCTCGTCCCAGTCTTTGTGGCCATCAAAAGCCTTGGGTTGGCCAGCGAGCAGCTGCATTGGGGCGGCGTAGCCATCGCCAGCATTCTCATAATGGTCGTCTCCTATCTTTTGGCCATGAACCGTGCCACCCAGAAGTATATTACCATTCTGCAGGTGAGTGTCCAGGTGGCGTCCAGCTATACTTACTATTATTGTGTAATCATCAATCATTTGCAGCTAATCATGGGCTTGACAATGGCCTGTGTATTGGTCTTTCCCTACATGACGTCCAGTTTCAAGGACACGCCGCGCTTCAATGCCCTGCCACGTGTCGGTCTACACTCTCTATCGGACGCCGACTCACTGACCTGGGATCGTTTCCATTCCCTGTGCGCCCTACCCTTCCAAGAGGAGCCCAACAGGATTAAGTCCCAGCTGCGTTGCTTTCACCTCAATGGTATGCCCGTGACCTGGCAGGGCAGCGTCACCAAGGTGGAAATCGCCAAGGTATCCAACATGTTTGAAGATCTCGTCGCCAATTATTTGCCCGGCTGGTTGGGCAGGGCGGTACGCTGCGCTCACGGCGAGGACATATCACAGAATTTCCAGTGCAATCGCAAGCTGGATGACCAATGCGACGAGTGGCAGCGCGTGATCAAAACAGTCAATGCTCGCACCGGCAGCTGCACGCTCCAGAAGTATAACCGCTACGAGTACGAGCTGCTGGTGAAGGTCGGCAGCAGCAGCGGGAGCCGACTGCTGGGACGCACGACATCATCGGAAGTGGTTCTAAAGGCGCACCATGACTTTGGGAACTTCACGCGGCAGCTCAGCCAGGGGGATACTGTTTTGTTTTACGGCACACTCCATCACACCCGGATGCGAACAAACGATGTACAAGTGCTGTTGAAGACCATCGAGTGCCGGGACTGTAAATCCCCAGAGCTGGGAACGGCGAGCATTGAACGACTTCTTGGTGCCTCTCCGATGGATGCTCGCCTGCAGGAACTAATGCGCGGCATCAAATATCTGTTGAATGCATTGTTAAATCCGTTAATTACGTTTAAGTAGGTTAAATAATCAAATACAAAGGCAAAGGATTTGATTCTCTTAGCTAATAATCACAAATATTTATACAACTATTTTTATTGATATCGATTTACTGCATGGGGTTTTCCAGCTTGAGGCTGCTGGGCAGCTTCTCAACGCCCCCGATCGGCAGTGGAGCAATCTTGTGTGTGTTTTCATCGTCGGCATCGGCTATGTGCTCGGCCACATCTGTTACACTCCTGAAGACCAAGTCTGGACAAGCAGCGCATGTGTAGGAGAAGCTCAAATTGATGGGTGGTATCACATCAGAGACTTCAGCAGAGAAATCGAAGACGTTTTCCGATTCCTTGGGATTGACGTTGTTAGATGGTCCAAATACTGGCAATGATCGGCACTCTTCAGCCTCACTGCCACTATCAGAAGAGTCTGTTGAACTGTCCGACCCGCGCTGAATCGGACTGTGATGATGGTGCTCGCAGGGCTCAGAGCACTTAAAGCGTTCCTCTGGCGCGTTGTTCATTAGCTGGACACCATCTAGCAGCAATTTACGATGGCATCGATGGTAAATCCCCAATTTCTTGAGATCACGCGGAACAATTCGCTTGCAGTGGGCAATGGTGTTGTAGCCCTTATTCATAAACCTGTCCACGTACATCTCCATGGTTAGAAGGACCAGCCATTCCCGGACAGCGTGCGGACACATTCTCAAATTTTATTTCCTCAGAAATTCCAAAACAGCCCCAAATATTTTGACAAAAGCCACCGTTACGACGAACTAGTTCAGATAGAGTTGTTTCGATACAAAATCTCGACATGGAAACCGACGTACAGTGGGGTGGCAAAAGTCAATTCATTTTTTGAACGTTTCGGATAAATCCATTACACGAATCCGATAGAGAATTATCCAAAGCTTTCAAAAAAGTTTAAAATAAATCGGACTTTTAGTTTAGGAGATATGAGCAATCAAAGTTGAAAATTATTTCCGTGTGCAAAAATGTATTCAACTTTTATTGACATTTTATATATAGAATAAAAAGTAAACTGTTTGAGGTATCATTCTGTTTTTGGTATCTTTTACTAGGTGTATTCATTTTTATCAATATTCAGTAAAAAACTGGTCCGTTGCACAGACAGTTATAGAGAAAAACGAATTTTCCAAACCATCTAGTTTTGGGGTTTGCGAGGTAGCGTCACTGCTATCGATGTAGAAGCCAAAAAACTCAAAAGTTCAATATGGGCTATTAAACTTATGTAGAGGCATATGCAAAGAGCACGTATATAAAAGCATGCTTTTTTTTAATTCAGGTCAAAGTTGAAAAACGGCCAAAAATTAGGTTAATATTCTAATGATTTCATATATTTCATCCATTAGACATGTGATATCTCAAAATAAATTGGAAATTAGTAATTCTATAGAAATTTTAAGTTTATGAGATATTTTTAACAAGGTAGATGACTATTAAAAGACAAAAATTTTGAAACAGGTTTGATAATAAAATTTAAAATTATTATATGTAGTGATAAAAACCACTAAACTTTATTTATCGATGGAAAAAACTAAGTAAACTAATTAAGTAACTAACGAAACTAAACTAAAACTATCCCCACATCGATAAGTCACCGCAATCAGGCAAATGTTCACAGGAATCAAAGTTAAACTTTGAGTATTTAGAAGCTTTACAATTCTAGAAATTGTAGTACCATTTTATCTTCTAGACTAAATTTTGAAAGATTTGTCTTTCAAATGCAGTTTATTTCATGAAAATATCTTGATTCGTTCGGAAGTTATTAATTCAGCAAGCTGAAATGGCCGAATGGCCCACTGTGCAACGCATTTAAATCAATTAATTCTCTCGCTCACGCAGCATGCTGTTCCATGCTTTGCCCCGCTTTGAAGCGCCCTTTTTTTCTATGTTACGCGATTTTTTTTTTATTTATTTGAATAGTTTCATTTAGAAACTAAAAATAACGAAACAAAATTATAGAGTAACCGTTTATGGTTTATCATATAGTTTTCGGTATATTCTGAAAATGAGAAGGTATATTTTGGTATATTTCTGGGGGGCGCACTGTAGTGTATATTGTCAGGTCGGGCGCAAAGAGTATTTAAGTGGCTCACATGGCTCATTTTCGCGTTGAAAATCCAATTGGACTTTTATAATTCCAAATACCGTTTGTCCGCAATTGGGAAAAATCGAATTAGACATTTCACTTTCAAATTTCATATTTCTGTTGCTGGTTACTGTTGTTGTGTTAAAAATTAATAAATTGAAAACTTGACATAAATAGTAAAAAAGAAATAAATAATAAATACACGGTGGAAACCTGAGACCCGAGACCTGGGACGGCCCGCACTATCTCTATCTTCGGAGCAGATACCAAACTATTAAAGATTCAAGTGTAATCAGAGCCAAGCAACAGCCTTAGCCATCATGATACCGTGCATAACAAAAAAGTATCAAAACGTGGTGATTAGCACGGGAAACATCATTAACAACGAGCTGGGGCAGCGCAGGTCCAACGAGGAACTGTACGATGGGCTGAAAATAACGCTGCACAGTGACCCAAATGTCGAGCGCGTGGTGGTGGAGATAGACGAGCTGCATGGACGGGTGCAGCATGCCACACAGGAGCTGACCAACAGGCTGACGGAGAACCAACGCAGTGAGATCAGCATCGGTGCCAAGATATTCCTCAACAACAACTCGACGGTGAACATAGAGCAGGCGGTGGAGGCGCTGCTCAACATACTCAATGTGACGCACGTGGACAACGTGGTGTTGGCCTACCACCCGAATGCGGGTGGCGCCACTTCGCCCGTTGCCAACGCAACAGCTGAGTCCACAACACCGACAGCACCGGCCGTCAAGTCTCCGTGCTCTGAGGCAAACCCCTCAGCCTCGACCGTCGCCAGCTGGAGTCTCCGGAATGGCGCTCAGGGCGTAAGCGAACTCAAGGGGCTCTACAGGTCCCTGGAGCAGTATGCCCTCAACCAGAAGATCACGCAGCTGGGCATTGCAGATCTCGATGCCGAGGCGCTGGCAGAGCTGCACAGGACAGCCGCAGTCGCCCCCACAATTGCGCAGGTGAATCTGTCCACCTGCTGCCGCGTGCCCACGGAGCTGCAAGAGTTCTGCGCCGCCCACGACATCCAGCTGAACACACACGGCGATCCCGAGCTGCTGCTGCCAGAGGAACAGTTTTCTGGCCTGGCGCCCGGCTACACAATCGATTGGTCGTTGCGCTACCAAGTTCATGTCCGCTGTCGAGGCGTACTCACTGCCAAGGGCTACATTGTGGGGGCCTCGAGGCCCAACGCCAGCGCATAGGCATAGTCGAGAGGCACAGTCGAGAGGCAAAGGCAGAGAGAAGCTTAGCTTTAGTTAAAATATTTGTGTGTGTGTGTATACCTGTATACTGTGTAGTAGTTCTGTACTTATTGTTTGTTATACAAAAACCCAGATGATCGATTGATTTTATTGTAAACGATTTTTCAAACTTCTTCTGAACATAAAGCGTTTCAAAAACGGCAAACCAGCTCTGTATTGTTATTTGTGTTATTTGCTTTGTGCTCTCACCGGCTGGCAGGGGTCACCGCGACGTGAACCGGTTTGGCTCACATATTAAGTATACGTCTAGTACACATTCAGATAATTATTGCAGGCAGTCTGGGTTGGACGAGTGCGGTCGGTCGGTCTGGTTCCGCTGATGGCTGTCCAGCAGTCCCTGTTTCCTGTGACTATGGCTGTACATAGTGCTTTGTTATTTACTCTGTTAATCGTGTGGCGTTCCTCCGCTCTAGAGTCTAGACTCAAATCTAATTAAAGCAGACGCATCCAGCGACCCAGCAAGATCACGTGGCTAACCCGTCCAATACTTGAGAAAGCCAGCTCCCGATTAGAAGCAGATTATTATACAGCAGCGGGAGATATTTTAAATATATTGCCATTAATTTACCCCTGGGTGCAATAACTAACGGCCCCATAAATCCCATCATAGCTAATAATAAATTCGTAGGTGTACATCCGCCCCAAAAATTAATCTATTGTCGAAATTTACAGTGACCATATATTGGTCGAGTGAGCTGCGCGATTGGAGCAGGAGTTAAGAGGTGTGGTTTGGCCTGTAAGTAGGGCATTTACAAGTGTTAGTTGGGAAGTGAGGAACTTCTCAAGTGCGTAGAAGTGCGTGGACAATAATGATTTATTTATAAGCAAGCAAGAGACCATATAATTTGAGGGCAAAGTTCAGGGAGCCAACATATGCCATATGCCTTGATTTATAATATCCCAATAAAACGTACATAGTTTATTCACGCATTAAATAGATACACAAAAATACAATGTGTATGTACATATGTACTAACGCCTGTGTTTCCCGGGAAGTAGGTACAATAAGTACAATAAAAACAAAAGAACACTTATCGCCATGACTTGGTTGCTTGAATTCCCCACAGCGAGAGAGAGAGAGAGAGAGCATGAGTAAATCTAACTTGTTTCTCGATCATTACAGCTCCATGTTTGTTTGGTCTTTCGTCACTAGCCCATAAAGTCCGAGAATATCTCTATAGATATACTATGTATGTATTTATATACAATTTGTATGTGCACGACGAACGCCTGTGACGCATCGGCCTCCAAAATGGTATGGAGCAACATGTAGCTCAACATTTGTGCTGTTTGTCAGCATAGAAGATAGAAACCTCTCGAATATAATTACCCTTTTCAGGCGGGTATCAGGAACTGGTGAAATGTACAGCTCGTTATCAGCCTCGTTATCAGTAAGCCAGTAAGAGGCTATTCTCGCCTCTTTTGTAAGCCAAAATCGCATCCAAGTGCAGTTGTAGAGATAAGCCAGCTGTTCCCTTCCGCACTGTCGTATACGTAACGAATAGCTATCAACTATCTACATATATGAAAATACATATTCAAACGAGTATCTATGTATGACCATTCATCATTATGTTCCGGCTGAGCTGCGATGAGTAAGCAATTAATTGAATTTGCAATTTTCGATGAATATCATTATTTTTATCCAGAAATTTCCTTAGAAACAAACAAAAAATTCTTGTGATTACACCATAACAATTGTTGAGTCTTTATTAATTTAATTGAATATTCTTTGAATGCTTCGGTACTCACATTATTCTTAGTTTGACTACACTCCAAATCTACAATACTCGTACACGCGACTCCATCCGCCACTTACATTGTTTCAACATTATCTATTACGAGTATGTTGTTCATTTTTTCATTTTTGTGTGTTGATAATCATAATATTAATACAGTATATATGTATTAGAGCAGTTAACGCACACCAATAATACACACACGGAATTGATAATGGATGTTCCTAGTACTGGCATGCAATTGGGGTTCGAGTTACACTTGATAAGGTTTCATCCTCTACTACACACATACAAATATCTAATTACAGGTGTGTTTTAATGTTTGTTTTTTGTTTGTATGTACGATGTATCCGCACAATACTTTTTTGGGTTATACATACATATTCCACACATTAGCTACTGGTACAATTAGATTGCATCGTAAAAACTAATCTATCATCTCACTTGCTCGCAATTCGAAACAATAATAATAATACTCTGTATACATATCGCATCCATTCGTAAAATCAAACGCTCTTCTGGGGACGGACGCTGTAACATACAATTGAAATTGTTTAATTGGCATTCCGATACCGAGTTAATAAAAAACTGAAAAACTGGTCATTCAATTTGGAATTTGTTCGCCTTCGCATTTGTTTCGTTGTCTGCTCGACCATTTCCCGGCATGGGGAAGGAGGGGACCATTTGAATTGTGGCAAATTGGCTGTCGGTAATACAAATTTGAAACCGGGCTGTTGTTGCTGTTGCATGAACGCAAATGGGAGGGGGGCAGGGGCATGGGGCATGGCCACTTTGTGGGTCATTCGTTGCTGCGCCTCGACTAGCCCTCCTACTAGGACACTTGTAAACCATAGTAAAAATGTATCAAAAATCTGCTTTTCTGTTTGTTTTCGTCTCGTCAAAAAACCAAGAGAAAAAAATGTACAAAAATCGTTTGTTGGTCGAAGACATCTTAAATAGTTCGATATCTGTTGTGTGGACTCGTGTGTTGCACATTCATTTAAAGTAATTGTGATCCTGTCTAGTTTCTCATAAAATTCCAAAATTTATATCCATCTTCCTCTCTACTTTCGACCTAAATTCGAATTGCTGTCGCAAACAAAAAGAATATACGTACTGGGGGGGGGGACACTGGGGGGAACATGAGCTTGACAATGAAACGGATTCTTTGTCTATTTGTCACAACAATACATACAGTACATATACATATACATATATCTGAAGAATTTCCACTAGTTTACTTAAGGTATTTCGTATTTTAAGAGTGTACCCCTATGGGTGTAGGTATACTTTAGGTATAGTTATAGACACATACTGTTCTGCACATTGAGATACGAGTGAGTAGATAGCAAATTGAATAGAATAGAACGAGTTGCAAGTGGGCTGGGAAAGGGGTGGGGGGAGTGTAGGATTACTACTAGTAGTAGGTACTACCAGGAAGAATCTTTGTAGGTCTGGACATCGTGTAGCTACACATTTAATAAACACATTCTTTAGAATTTCAATTAAAAGTTTCCTATTTTTGTTATTTTTTTTTTTTTGTTCAACAGTTAGTTGTGCCAATATATTTTTAAAAAATATTTGCAATTTTTGTTTTCGTGTTTTTTTGTTTGTTTGTTGTGAATCCGATTACATACTAATACATTTTGTTTAAACATTAAGCCAATGGAATTGCAGTTGTCAAGCACACACCACACAGCACAGCACAGCACACCACACAAAAGACATCAAGAGCGACACTTGAAATGCAGATTGACATCCTGAGTGTTTGCTGCCGATTAAACATTTCGATTTACTTATGAGTGTGTGTGTGTGTGTGTGAGTGTGTTGTGCCCCCTTAAAAATGTCACAAAAATACAATCAAAACATTTTGTTTACTAATCTACCAAAAATACATACATACATACAATAAAATACATTGATGCCACACACATATCATATACATATATCTATATGTAGGTATAATTGGATATTGGTGTAACCTTTGCTTCTCTCCTATCTCCTTTTTAATCTAGAACAACTAACAATATTTCTGTTGTTTGAATGGATTAGTTTAGTTAGTTAGTTTGTTTGCATGTGGGTGGGGTCTTATGTAGAACGCTAAACTATTCAAAATATAATAATACCATTCATTTTGCCATTTGTTTCGGGGCATACATAAGTAATTCAGTCTAATTTGGGAATTGGTCGACGATCTCATTGGTGATCATTGTCGTGGAGCGGTGCAATGCGATGCGATGCGGGTGAGTGCAGGTAGGTGGTGGAACGGGTGGAACCAAACACACGAACAAATGTACAATAGTTGGATCGGATTTATCATCCATCTATCATTTTCTATTTCCATCGATAATTTCATTCCATTATCATCTGAGCTCTGAGGCGGCTCAAATCAAGTGCGACTTGCGGTTGGAGTGCTCAATGGCAGCCAGCAGCTCGTGCTTCTTTCGCACATAGAGGCGTCCCTTCTTCCAGGGATTCTGCAGCTGCAGCGGCTTGAAGTCGTCCCGCAGGCAACGCTCTCGGGCCCCGATCACGGCCACCAGGCAAAAGTTCTCCAGCATATCGGCGCTGTAGATGGGACCGTTGTTGCCTTTCAGCACCACGGCCATGTTGAGCTGCTTGACCACCAGATTGATGACCTCGCGGGCGGTTGTCTTTGGGGTTACGTGGAGCTTGAGGCTGGTGCCACTGGCCAGTCCGGTATTGTAGGCGGTGTACACCTGGATGATGCCCGGTGCCTGCTCCGTGTTCAGGCTGGAGCAGCTGGCCGAGTCCTCTTCGCTGCTCTGGCGAGACAGGCTCTTCGTGGAGGATGCTTTCGAGGTGCTGGCCACCGGCTCCTCGCCGCCCACAGCCCTCAGCTCGGCCAGGGTGCTCTTCAGGTAGGGTCCGCCCTCGCGCAAATTGGCACTGGATGCCGCCTTCACCGCCGGCTTCAGCGGCTTGTGCTCCAGGTCTGTGGCAAAGGCGCCGCTGCCGCTCCTCAGCGACACACTCGATCCGGCCAGATACGGAGCCGAGCTGGAACTATGCACCGTGATGAGCGGCGTCGAGGTCTGGTGCCCGATGTTGGAGCTGGTGCGCTTCCGTTGGGCTGCCACCGCCTGCGAGTGTCGCAGTGCATCCGCCAGGGTGTCATCGGAGCGTGACGGTGGCAGGGCAAAGGCGCTGCTGTTGCTGTTCCCATCCGAGACGGAGTCCACGGCAGAGTAGAAGCTGCGCGTCGTGTAGGTGGAACTCATGGAGTCGCCGCTGTTCTTCCGTAGCGACACCTCCGAGCTCGTGGAGGCCGCGTACCCACTTGTGGATACTTGGAGCAGCTGCTGCTGTTGCTCCTGTTGCATTTGTGACTGCTGCTGCTTGGATGTCGCGGCATCCACTGGGGTGACTGCAGTCTGGCCCAGATTCTGCTCCGATTTCGAGTGCTCCGGCTTGGCCTGCGCCTGATCCTCGTTGGTGCCGGGTCCCGGCCAGCTGCCACGCCCAGTGCCTGTTTTGTTGAACTTACTCTCGCGCACGGGCAGCTGCAGGAGCTGCTTGGACTGGCCCCCCGCCCCGGACAACTCGTCCTGCCGCATCTGGGCAAAGTCGAGGATCTCCCGCATGGCCAGCGACGGCTGGGCACTCTTGTTGCGCGCATAGGCCACCACATCCATCAGCCATCGGACGCTCTTCCACACCAGCGTCAGGCTGGAGCTGAGCTCCTGCAGCGTGGCCAGTCGCTCCTTGGCCGCCTGCAGTTCGCTGCTGGAGAAGGCCTCGCGCAGCGAGTGCGTGGCCAGGGCCGTGTCCAGCTCCAGGATGCACGAGAGCCGTGCATACTTCTGTATAATGGCCGGCTGGTACGTGCGCAGATGGATCATCTCGAATGCCTGGATGCTCAGGCTGGCTAGATCGTCGCGCTGCAGCAGCAGCTCCGATTGTCCGGGCACCGCGCACGATGACTCCGCCGAGGGGCACACAACCAGGAAACTGATGTCGGGACTGTGCTCGATCACCTCCACGTCGTAGAGGCGGTGGGTGGTGGCCTCCGAGGCCTTGATGTTCATCCCAGCGAACAGCTTGTGCATTGCATTGGTGAGATCGTAGAGGAAGAGGCGCTGCACCTCTGTGGTGCCCGACCGTTCGCCGCCGGGCGAACTGAACTCCAGTGGAAGGCGTAGGGGATCGCCGCTACGATGTAGCACCTGCCACTCCTCGGCCGTGATGTGGCTGTTCTCGCGCACCTTGCAGTGGGGCAGCACATTGGGGGTCTTCACGGGCACCACCACCTGGATCTGGTCCATGGAGCACTGCATCTTCAGATAGCCCAGATAGAGGCCCGGCTCGAGCCGCTGCAGGGCCGCCTGCTGGTAGTGCATCTGTTCGCCAATCGATGAGATGAGCAGCTCGTTGATGTTGTAGTCCTCGTGCAGGGCCCCGAGCTTCTTCTGTAACTTGCTGACTGGCAGCCAGCGGGAGTTGAGTATGGAGACGGCCTTCTGGCTCTTCACCGACTGGACGCACGTGAGGACGACGGTGCCCTGCGAGTCCCGCAACGGCTTGTAGTATAGCTGGCCGAGATCCGTGAAGCCCAGCGCCGACTGCATCTGGCAGACGGCCGACAAAAGCTTTGTCCGGAAGTGAACGGCGGACGTGAGATTGCGCTCCATGTCGGAGCGAAGCGACTTGACATCGTCCCAGGTGCAGGCCACCTTCATTAGCCAGTAGTAGTCCATGTGCAGGGCACTCGGATACGATTCGTCGATCTCGATGACGGGCGGAAAGTCCTCGCTGGTCACCAGCACCTTGTCATCGCAGTGGACGATGCACGAGAAGTAGATGCCCCTGTGAAAGAGTCGGATTGCATTTATTCTGGCTCAAGATTGGATCTCTTTATGTGTACTCACCTTCTGAGGGTCTTCTGGAACTTGGACGCCACCGAAAAGAGCTGCTTGATGGTTGTCTTCTTCTTGGGATTGCGTCGCTGTCCGCCCGCAGGATCTAGCGTGAGTTCGGAGACATCGGCGGGTCGGGCCAAACGCACGGCCGTAAACAGGTTGTCCAGAATACGATGGCGACCCACAAATCGGTCCTCGCGATTGTCCAAGTCACGCCAGGCTATCAGGAGGAAGGATGAAGGAGGCATGGCTTAAATGGAGTTGATTGATTGATGGGGGTTCGGGCTACTCACTGGATGGCACCACGCTGGCTGGAACCGAGCTGCGGTAGGCTCCCCAACCCTTGACGTTGCCGCAGGATGCGCGCAGGAAGTATCGACGCCCCTGGGTGAGACCGGATATGTGACACTGGGCGCCCATTGTGCCATGGAAGCTCACCCACTCCAGCAGCTCGCTCTCGCCCACCACATTATTGAAGTCAGCGCGGGTCGACCATTGAACTGTGGCAGATACAGAGAGAGAGGGAGGTTGAGTCAAAACCAAATCAAAATGTGGGTCTAACCGCAATAGCAGGTCGCACAGCAATCAGTGTGTGATTGACGGGCCTGTTTACCTTTAAATTTCGTGCCGATGGCGCCCTCAAAGGGCTCCAGGATTTGTACGCTGATGGAATTGTCGCCGGTGACATCTACGACCACCGAGGCGGGTGCATCTGGCGGCCTGGCCTGGTCCCAGCCCAGCAGCAGGCGTCGCAGACCCTTGACTCGTCGCTCCCAAATGCCGATCTGTTTCTCCACCTCGCTGCCCGTGCAGCCAGTCACAGAGGCACTCGAGTTGCCTGATGACCATGAAAGGGGGGAAAGACCAAGCTGATTAAGAGGCCCAGCCATGAGGGTCGTTGGTTGTGCGCCACTCACCAATTATGATGCTCGAGATGGAGGGTCGCGAAGCGAAAATGGGTGGACAGAGGCCCTCCGGTCCGCTCAGATCGTGAATGCGCGACTCGGCGTCCTGCAGCAGTCCATTTAGCTTGCTGCCGATGTTCTCCGCTGAAACTGCAATGGAGATTGAGATTGATCAGTGAAAGGAACAGCCAAAGATATACTTGAACTTACACTGGGAGCCCTCCATGGCGCCACGTTGAAGCAGCATCTTGGTCATGGAGCGATTGTTGCTCAGAACGGCCAGATCCAAGGCGGAGAGACCATCATTGTTAATGCTGTAAACGAATTGGAGATTGTTAGACATACTTTTATGAATGAGGGATTGGTGGGACTGTACCTGTTCACATCCACATCGGTGGACTCCAGTATGGTGCGTGCCTTGTCCAGATGTCCATGCTCCACGGCCGAGAACAGAGCTATAATAAAATACATATATAAAGAGACTTTAAGTTGCAGTTCCAACTAATCGGATGGCTTAAGATCAAGTAGTCCTAGTTGCATTAGTGGGTTAGTGTTTGGTTGCGTTGCCTTGGGCCTACCCTACCATGCAGATGGAGATTGCTCTGGGTCAGCTTTTCGAACTGTGCCTGTGCCAGTTTCTGTTGCTTCTTGGACATTTTGCTGACACGCGGATGGGGTATGTTGCCGGTTACTTTCGTTCGCAGCTGCACGGGCTGGCGGTGTACGGACAGCTGTTGCACATTGGCCGCCGTGTTCTCATCCCCGGCGGCCAAAGGCGGCGTCTCCAAGTCGGCGGTGGAATCGGTGTTTTCCTCATCATCATCATGGTCATCCCGCAGCTTGGCATTCTTCGGCTGCGAGTGGCGGGAGATGCAGAGCTGAGACTGCGACTGTGTCGAGCGCGGCAGGAGGAACTCCATCTCTCTGAGATCCTGTGTGTGGCAGGAGATTGCGGTGCGTATCTTGGCTACCGTTGCATGCTGCGTCAGCTGATCGGACCAGCGAGGGGACAGCAACGGCGCTGGATAATATGTGGGATAGTTGTTGTCCTTCTGCTGTTGGCTCCGATCTTTGGGTCGCAGCTTCACCTGCTCCACTACAGCAGATTCAGTGTCGCTCTCCCGATGCGACTGCGATTGAATGTTGTCTGGGTTGGTGGATGTGTGGGTTCGCGGGCAGTGGGCAGGGAACAAATAAAAAGGTAAATTCAAATTAAATGCAAAATTAAAAGCAAATAAAAGCTAAATATAAATTAAATGCAGGATTTGTGTTGTGTGTAAATATGTATATACAGAGAGGGCAAATAACCGTGTGAAGGGCCCCTGCCCCGCCGTGGGTGAGTATAATCAGTGGATGGATAATTATAACAATTATTATTGTTTTATTTGCGCCTGCAGTTGCCGGCAAATGGGATTAATTAAATATTAAACATACTCGTAAATGCCTATTCCAGCCGCTTATGTATGTGGTTCTCTCTCCCTTCTGCCCTGACATGAGATGAGATGATGATGACCATCGAACCAATTAAATTAATTATGCAAAAGCGGATTCCAACCTTTTGTTTTGTGTTTGTGTTCGTGTTTGTTTTGTGTGTTTAAATGTTTGTTAGTGTGTGTTTATGTCTCCATGCAACGCGAGAAGCAAGCCACCCACCACTCCTGATAATTATTCCTCCTCCTTTCATTTCAATTGCCCTTAATATGCCTTTCGGTAGTTGTATGTAGGAATGATGATAAATGTAAGTATTTCAAGCGCATTTCTTAATTGCCCCGCATGGGGGCATGGGTACAGTAAACTACCGTTCTCTAACCCATCTCTTACCATCGAAGGCATATTGACTGTGTCGCCGTCGTTGCTGCAACGCAGGCGGAGGCAGTGTGCCGTGGGTAGACACCGCTGATGATGATGCTGTCACTGTCGCCGCCGCCGCCGCCGCTGCTTGTGCCGCTCTTGGGGACACTTTCAATTGACAGAATTTGGTCAGCTCGTTGAGCGTGTGAAACGATTTCTGGCGCATGAACACCGCCGGAGAGCGGAGACAGCTGCTCATCTGGAGTTTCTGCGGCGGACAGGGGACTTTATGGCTATCGCTCTGGTAGCATCTGCAAGAGCATAATATTAACGACCCCGAAACAGATACATATTTTGCCATGGGATTAAGCCAGTGGTTATATGGTCAACAGATGTGTGCTGTGCGCATAAATACGAAACATGAAACATTCAAATGAATATTCATCCAATTTCCACACTCGTTTTATGGTTTTATTTCTTTCTTTCTGCGAAAGGGAACAACTCTCGCGTGAACAAGCGACAAATGGCAACGAGCTTAAGGCGAAATTTATTTCGTTAATGTAATGGCAAGATCTGAGATGCGAGGGAAGCCCTACCACCCTACCCTTTCCTTGTACAGCTTCAGCTGTCTACCCCTTTTCCTTTTTGTCTTTTCCGAATAGCATTTCGAATAGTTCATTGACCCACTTGGAAGCAAATAAAAATCAAACCAAATCAACACATGATGGACATAAAAATGAAATCAAATCAAATCATAGAATGGAATGGAAGCCACAAATGAAAGGCCACAAACATTTCACGGAATCACATCTGAATCTGAATCTGTCACTTAATCGGGATTTATGTATGCATTTCGAACCACTCCCATTCCCGTTTCCACCCACGAATCTTTCGGGGAATAACGATCTACAAAAAGGGTGACGACACCTACGACTGTTCAGGTACGGCATCGGCTTCCGTATGGTGGCCGTGCGCATGCGCGTTGTTCCATAGATCCCCTGCTGGGCATTTCGTGTGATGTCCGCCAGCACAGAGATTGAGTCGTCGCCGCTGAGCGTCCGCTCCAAGTCCGAGTCCAGCGTTGCCTTGGGGGCTGGCTTCGCTTTCGCCTTCTCCTTCTCCTTCTCCGGCTGGCAATAGCTCTCGGGTATCTGCAGCAGCTTGCAGGCCTTCCGCGGCAGCGTTACGCCCACGGGCAGCGTCGACATTAGCTGCTCGATGCCCAATTCCCCCTGATCGGCGGCCAGCCCGGAGCTGGGCTGCCGCTTGAGCGGCACAAACTCGTTCTTGCCCTTCACCTTGGTCGTGACCACGGCCACAGCATCGATTTCGCTCCACAAACGCAGTGCCTTGGCCGCCTTGCTCTTGTCCAGCGTTGTCCTTGTGCCGCCGCCGCTGCTGCGATTGCGCGAATGCAGATGGGCGCGCAGCTTGAAGGGCGACTGCAGCGGCAGGGCGGGACTGTGCAGCTTGCTCTTGAGGCGCCGCAGGGAGGAGCGCACCGAGTGCGAGCGGCGCAGGGCGGGCAGCGTATCCCCGTCCCCGTCATCGTCCTTTTGCGGGGTCGATATCAGCGCCGCCTGCTGATCCTTCAGCTTCGAATACAAGCCCAGTGCTTTGCGACGCTCCATTGATCACTTTAACCGGTTTTTGTTGCGTGGCCTTTTCTTTGTTTCTATCATAAATAAGTTTTTGTTTAACACTTTTGTCGCGTTTTCCGTTTATTTCATTTTATTTTATGGCAGGATTTTCCGTAGTGCGCGTCGCGTGTTTCAAAAATCGAATGTGAGAACTTTTCATCGTACGGGATCGGAGCGAACGTGATTCCGTTCTCTCTCTCCAGTTTTAAAATTTAAATCCTCTCTTTCCATATGAGAGGTGCGATAGTGCTGACGAGTGCTAGCCGTTTTCAAGCCAGATCTTTTCTGTTTTAATATTGGGAATATTATATACATATAGTATATACGCAAAGCCTTAAAGCTCAACGTACGCATTTTCTGTTGTTAAAATCGTGAGTCTGAACTGATGTTAATTTTAGCATTTATATTAAATTTGATTTAACTGCGGCTTCTCTAACCACTATAATATCTCCTTTGAAAAATCACTAGAATAGAAACTAGCTAGCTCTTTTCTAGCTATATTTTCAAATTCTTGATTCCGCTGTAACGAGAGCCAACACTGGTGAGAGCCTGTTTAGGTAGAGGTTCTCTCTCTCTCTCTCTGCTTGCTCTACCTACCCTTATGTATGTATGTTGTTCAGGAAATATCACTCGTTTGATCCCTGTTTACTGTGCTTTTGTGCACTGTACATACATATGTACTTACATACATACATGTATATCTGCCTGTACCTGCATACAAATTCTCTTAAGTAGCAGCAGCAGCGGTTTCAAAATAGAAATCTTCCTCTGGGATGTGCTCTCACGGTGGGATATGGAATATGGATGTGCGGGGGTGTAGTAAAATCAATTATCGCGACATTTCGAGTATCGTAAACCTTAACAAATAATTTCCAGACACCCCTAGAGGATTGTTTGTTGCTGTTGCAGCTATTGCTGATGAGTCGAGGACTCGTCCTGCACTGATTTATCGATGGATGTCTGTCTGTTGGCATTTGGGAGGTGGTGTCACCCTCGCCCCCGCAGGCAACGAAGACAAATGGAAGAAATTAAATCTGTGTCGCGCGTCTATGAGTCGTCTGTCGTCGCGTATCAGGGGCTGATTAGCCCCAACAAAGGGCCCATCGAAGTCAGAGTCAGAGAAAAATTGAAAACTAATTGGAGACTCTTGAAAGGTGAACTCGATGTGCCCTCGATCAAACAGGAAACCGGTTTTATTTTACATTTTCGTGTGTTTTTTTTTTTTTTTTTTTTTTGCTAATTTTAGACATTGTCTCATACGAATGAAATGAGATGAATAAATGTCGCACGCTTGTTTTTAAAATCACTCAGATCTCCACCGAAACGACTTCAAATACTGGGAACAAGTCGTTGTGGCGGAAACCACCTATTATTGTCCAAACACTTGGTCAAGGTCAGGCCTGGGGGCCGCAAATACTGTGACTCAGCCCAGTTTCAGTTTCTGGGCTGGCGGGTGACTCGAATCTTTGAATCAGCCAGACCCACAATTGATTCACCAAAGTGAATCTCAGATAAGTATTATGGGTGCCCTGTTACATATGGAAATATCTATGATTTATTCTAAGAGTAATGCATATGGTCGGTAACTGACTCATAAGTCTCTCTTTTTACTAATCCTGAATTAGTAATGTATTTCCATACAATTTAAGGATTTAAAGCGTCGTGACTGCGGTCTCTGTTCGATGCAGCCGTTCCCTAAAGGGAATTAAGCTATTAATATACTAGAGTGATAATTTTTGTGCTGAACGGCTTCCTAGGATCATAAATACATATTCTGTAACCGTGGATGTCCAAGCGAGCTGTCACTCAATATTCGCAATTATTTGAACACTGAAACAATTCAGAATCACGTTTCTTCATATCACTATTTAATAAGTATTTGTTAAAAAATGATTACCAATAATAACACACACACACGCACACATTTCCTGCCAGCAGCTATGCCTCGCGGCACGTACCGGGATCAATCCCAAGCCGTTTCACTGATACTATCAGGTTTCAGTGCCACCATACCACCCATCGCC